CCTCTGGAGAGCCGGCAATAACTGAAGCCGCCTTGGGTTTCCTATTTACTTATTTATTTTATTCTGGTGGAGCGCTTCCAGATTTCAGCAGGCAGCCGTGGCCCGGGGGCAGAGGGGGCGAGGAGGCCCTGCCGGTTGGGCATTTTTCCGACATGCCGTCACGATCCCCCCCCTGCCCCCATTTCCCACCCTTCTCTTCCCCACACAAAGTGGGGTGACAGGGTGGGGGACCCCAATGCCTGCACTTCCCCCAAGCCTGCCTTTGTGACAGGACAGGGGGTCCCAAGCCCTTTGCAGGCTCTGGTGCCACAGGGACTTGGTGGAACGTGGTGGCACCTTTCTGGGCAGCTGGCATGGCTTCCCCCGAGCCTGCCTTTGTGACAGGACAGGGCGTCCCAAGCCCTTTGTGGGGACTTGGTGACATGTGGTGGCACCTTTCTGGGCAGCTGGCATGGACCCCCCCCCTTGCAGCCCAATAGCCCCCGTAGGTAGGGTTTGGGGGGCATCCATCATCCCTGTGCCATCCTGGATGGGGGGAAATAACCCCATCCAAGCTCCCTGGGCAGCGACCAGAGGGGAGAAGCAGCAGGAGGAGGAACGGGGAGCAAGGATTTCTCCCTCCTCATGGAGGTTGCTTTATGCCCAGCTTCAAACCAGCAGGATGACCCCATATTGGGTGGGACGGGCACCTGAGACCCTCGATCCAGTCCTCAGTGCCTCCTCGCTGCCACCAGTGACCGGGCAAACCCTGGACCCTCCATAGTCCCAGTAAAGCCCAAACCCTCCATGGTCCGGTAAAACCAGTCACTGTCCCCAGCCGTGTGGCACTGGTGGGGACCGTGCAGGGTCCAGCCCTCCTGGGGCACTGTGCTGGGGGGAAATCCCCCCTGCATTTCCCACCGTTGGCTGGAAAAGGAGGGCTGGCAAGTGTGGGTCACCCCATTGCCATCTCTGACCCCAACCGTGCTGGCCCTGGGGATAAGGGGTCCGGCTATGCCCCCACGAGCCCTGCAGAGGCTTTGCTCCCACCCCAGTAACCCC